TGGAATGATAGATGCTAGGGCCACCATCTTGAATTTGGTTTTGATGATGAAGGTGTTGAGATCCCTGAGGTCCAGGAGAGAGAAGAACCCTCCCCATGGCTTTGGGGACCAGGAAATATCAGGAATAAAAGCCCCTGCTCAGGACTTCTGGGGGAACTGGCTCTGCGGTCCCTAATGCGAGGATCTGAAGGACCTTCCCCAAAGGAGAAGCTTGTGAGAGGGGTCCCTGAAGACGGACGGGGTGAGGGGGATGTGAAAGCATCAGAATGGACGGGGACGACATAGCCCCTTCCCACCATCTGTAGGACACAGCGGTCCAAGGTAACAGATTCCCAGGCCTGGCAGAAAGGGAATAGATGATCTCAGAAGTAGAGGGGTGAGACTGTTAAGCTGTCCTTGGGTGTACCTGAGGGGGATGTGAAAGCATCAGAATGGACGGGGACGACATAGCCCCTTCCCACCATCTGTAGGACACAGCGGTCCAAGGTAACAGATTCCCAGGCCTGGCAGAAAGGGAATAGATGATCTCAGAAGTAGAGGGGTGAGACTGTTAAGCTGTCCTTGGGTGTACCCTCAACATCCTTGATGGGACCCTGAGGAGTCGTTAGGTGGACCCTGCACCTGATCCTGGGGTGGCCAAGGATGGCGCATGCCATTCCTCCCATTGACATTTCTACTGTGGCGCCGGGAGAAATCAGGAAGAGAGCCCTGCTGAGAAAGCCTTGGTGGGTTCCTGATTGAGAAGGATCGCTGCTGGGTGGCCGTGTGTGAATGCTCAGTGACATTAGAATGGCCCAGGTGTCCTTGAGCCCATGTAGATGCTGGTCCATTTGTTCAGAGAACAGAGACAGTCCCTCAAATGGAAGGTCTTGGATCGTATTTTGGAGCTCTGGGGGGTACCGCAGACCCTTGCAGCCAAGAGCTGGAGTGTAACACCAACCCCGTAGCCATAACACGAGTGGCTGCATTGGCTGTGTCAAAGGCAGCCTGGAGCATGGCCCTAGAGATCATTCTGCCCTCTTCTGAGAGGGCTCTGAACTTGAGCTGAGAATCCCTGGGGAGAAGTTCATTAAACTTGTCCATGGAGGTTATACGCGTAGTGAGACAGCAAAACTAGCTTGTTCGCTATGTGAAACTGTAGGCCTTCAGATGCGTAGGTCCATTTTTTTGGCATCCCTGTTCTTAGGGGTGGCACCTCGCTGGCCCTGCCTCTCCTTCTGGTTCACTGCCTGAACCACCGGAGATCCCAGGGGCGGGTGGGAGAAGAGGCATTCATTCCCCTCCTGGGCCATGAAGAACCGCCATTAATGTCTGTTGGTGGAATGGAGGCCGGGGTTTACCAGAGGGAGTTGCCACCATATTGTTGATGGAGAGGGCCACTATGGTAGGAGTGTCTGATAGTAGAATGTTAACCATAGGGTCAGAATCCGCTGACACTCACTCCACCTAGACCCCTAGGCTTTGGGCCAGTTGGCGAAGGAGGTCCTCATGTGCCCTCAAGTCCATGGAAGACACGGAGGGAAGAGTGTCACCCAGGGCCTCATACAGAGAGAAGGATGAGGGCCCCTTCAGGCCCGTCTCTGCAAGGTCCACTGCCATCGACGGGGGCACTGTGGGTGGCCGGGCCACGGGGCCCTTGGACTCCAAGGGGTGTGGGGACATCTGGCCTGGCGGAACCGACTTCCTCAACATAGGTGATCGAGTGAGTGGGGTCACTGAAGGAGGAGCTCTGAACCCAGAGAAGACCGACTCTGGTCTAGGGGGAGCCATACCCTGACCCTGGTGGTAAGCCCACGGGGTCCAGAAGGAGTTGGTGTCAGTGAGGGCCATGACTGCTGCATACCCGGCATACTGCTGTTGATGGGCAGAGGTGCTATCGTGCCGTCACTGATGACGGGAATGAGACTGGTGCCGAGATCTTGGTCTTGACCCGCTGGAGGACCATGTGGATTCCGCCTCTGAGTCGGTTGAATACTCTGAATTTGCCGCTGGTGCTGACCCCGACAGAGATGCCACTGGTGTGGTGGTGCCTGACCAGTGTTTTTTTGACGTTGGTGCTTAAAAGCCAGTTCCCCCCAGAATTGGCTCCACAATGCAGTCTGCCCCCCTCCCTGCACTGCTGCCTCATAAGAGGGGAGAGCAGGGGAGGCTGCCACAAAGCAGCCTCTGTCCATGGCAAGCCCGAACTTCCCACTGACAGAGGCTGCTCCATAAACCACGAACCAGTGTCTGCCTGTGGGGAGCTTAGATCCCCCATGGACAGGGGCTGCTGCCATCCCATGCTGCTGCCTCTGTTTTGGAGACAGCAGTGTGGAGCAGCAGGCAGCCAGTCCATGAGGAGAGCTGGTTTAAACAAACAAGGCAGTCCATGGAGATTCAGCAAACCATCTTAATGCAGATACAAATGAAGTCAACGTGTAGGTGTTTTATAATCATGTCAAGCTCTTCTCTCCTGCCCTGCAGCAAAGTCAGGAAAAAATATTCAAATGCACAGTCACAGTGAACACTAACAGCAAGCATTAGTGGAGGATTAACCAACTACTGTGATCAGACCACATAAGTTTTAGATAATCAGTCACTATATTATTGAGATACTAATGTCTATTCTGCAGAAAACCTCTAATTTATTAAAAAAATCTAGACAGATTTTTAAATTCAAAACTATTTTATAAATCTCAGTTCCCACTGTCAAGCAGGCTGTTTTTTTATTCAAGCAAATGTAAAGCTAAATATATCAGAGTAACTAAATGTCAGACATACTAAAAACAAGAGAAATGACAACCCACATCACAATAGCCCATATAAGAATTAACAAGCTACGACATCATCAGCAAGACATTTCATTTTGATTGACCTGCCAATTAAATGAAACCCTAAAAAATTGGGAGAACAAGATCTGATGTCTTAATTACCTGTCATCAGGGCTTTTCTTTGGCGGGGGAGAGGGGACGGAATGTTAGCTTGGCTGTGTACAAGCAAGGAAATCCTTTATTTAAAAGAGCTCTTAAAATTATCAAGAATGATAAACTTTATGGAAAAATATTTGAAAAACAAAGACTGACATATTTGGAAGATGTCATTAATATAAGAAAATCCAATTTAAAGAAGTAAAGATTATATTGGAAGAGATTATTTTAAAATGTAATTATTTTAAGATGTAAAAGACCAGCATTTCAATACTGGTCTCCCAAAAACCTCCACTGGTCTATTCATCATCATAATTTGAGAAATATAGTGAGCTCTCAAAACTACAGCATTAGGAAAGAATGAAAAGCACAGCAACAACATCGAAACTCTTTCATAGTCTCTCAAATCCTTGTAGATTTTTGCAAGCTGCATTGCAGGGATTCAAAATTGTAAAGACTTCAATACTTTGGCATAATGATAGTGACATTTTATATTACATCTTTCAACCCAACAGATCTTGTGAACACTTTATAAACTATAGTGTCTTCAATTTAATTCAGTCACTAATCAATCTGATCAATGTAATTTGGGATCAAAATATCAGAAGCCATATCATATAAAAACAAACCCCAACTCCCACCCTTTATTTTGACAGTACTAGGCTATTATTATGGGATGATTCAATAATAGCTATGTAAAACTGCTTAATAGTGAAAACTAGAATTTTTAATGTGCTATAAGTAAAAAAAGAACCCAAGGAAGACTCATGCTACTGAAGAATTATTAGAGATAAAAACAGTTATTCGGTTGTAACAAGTTATAAATCATGTGCTATGAAAATTATGATAAGCCTCCTGGACATTGAACAGAAATCATGTCCAATTGCTTATTTTAAACTGTGAAGAGAACAAATTAAACTGGAGAGATTTATGTTCAGGTTATTATTAAAGTGTCAATATTAATCCACAATGGAATCCGTGATTAACACAGTAATTTTGAATTTTAAGTACAGGAAAAGCTGTGACGACCACAGGTACATCTGTGTGGCAAATATAAGCACATGGTGACTTTTTAAATGGCAACATTGCACTCAGGCACCATGATGACTGCATTTAAGTGGCTTTAAAAATACAAGGCCAAACAAAGGGGAATTTAACTTGATCTTTGGGTATGTACAAACACCTAAGAATGTCATAACAACTGTGCATGTGTTTGACAAATTGCCAGAGACTTATAGAAAATTTAGCTCGTTTCATCCAGACTAGGATAGACATCTTAAAGCCAGTTTTGCAACAAACTCATTTTCCCATTTTTTGTAACTAATAAGCAAAGCAAAGCAAAGCATTTATCAATCTGTGAGAATGTATTTCATTTTTAAATCTACAATTTAAAAGCTAGGTGACAACTGTACTGCAGGTTTGCTTACACTGCTCTGACAATCACTTTGACCTGGAGTCCTCTATTTTGATAAAAAGCACTCAATTTTTCATTCAGTTACTTCCTCAGTGGCACATGAGCAGAAACACTTTGATAGTGTTTTCCACTGCATATAGTCCCATGGTCTGTATTTAAACTAAAAGATAAGATAAAAGCAGTGTACACATTTAAAGCAACCCCCCTCCCCAGAGATTAGAAGAGTTTGTTCAATCTGTCATCCTATTCCTTTAACCTTGGACAGCTTTATGCAGAATACATAATATTTATAGGAGCATAATTTGCAGCATAGAGATTTGTTAATAGATGAGGTTAAAATTTCCTTTCCCCCCCCAATCGGTGGGTTTGTGAAAGAAACATTTTGTGATTTTAAATTTGGAAAAGTAAATGTATGGCCCCTTCCAGGTTTTCCCCCACTGTTTATGATTTGTTGCTGTGCATTATCACAATAGAAGCCATTACAAAATAAACTGTATGGAATAACTGAAAGGAGTTTATCACAGAGATCTAAACAGTGGTGGCCTTGCGTTTCTGTGCAGGAGCTATTGGCAAATTATGACTTTTTTTTTAGACCACCAGTGTGTCTTCGTACTTTCTGCATACAGTACATTATTTTTTAGTGGTTTTAATGTTTTTTCCCTTCTTGGAAATAAACTTACTTTAGTTTCTCTCAGCAGAAACTGCAAATCCCGCCCACTAAGGATGCCATGGTTTTTCACGTAGCTGGGCATATGGACAGTGCTTGTCCCGTGGACAGTTCCATGGACTTCCATGTAGGTATGAATGATGTCCAAATAAGCCTTCTTATCCTATAACATGAAACAAAATTCATTTTAGCCTTTACAAGGAAACTTTAAGAAATGATGCTGTCCCACTTAGAACTGGTTATTCATTGAAACAATGTCCCTAACCATATATGGAAGGAGGTCAGCAGTTCCTGTCTTCCATAACTATATCTTTGACATAAGATTTGACAGTGATTATATGATTAATATTTTAAAGTCTTAATTTCTAATAGTTTTGTGCTAGGTTTGCAATTTAGACATCCTAAATCTGTTTCACAGAAATCCAACAGGAAAATTCCTATTAGTTACTGTGGTTTGGGGGCCTGATTTTTCCCCACTGAAATTAAGGTAATAAGCCTTTGCAAGACAGAAGTTGTGTTGAAAACGTTTTTACACATAATAAACGCAATTTTCTAACCCACGCTAAAGGTGATGCACACATACTGTGCTTTCATTGGACTACGGTCATACTGAAGTTCACTCAAAGGAAAAGTAGAATAGGAAAATCCTAATGAGTAGAAGTCAAGAATAATAAAACACCAAACCTAGACGTCTAAAGTGAAATTTCATTATTTACTGCTTACCAAAACTAGGCATGCATTAAGTATTCAGTGTATCCAATCTAAAGCTTGAAAATAAAAGATTGTATCTAGCTTTAGTTTCTGCTGTGGTTTGATAACACCAGCAAGAAAGTGGACAATTTATCCTTTCACAGCCTGCCTCATCACTAAATTTTCTGATCAATTATTCCCCATACTACATTTTAGAAAGAATGCAATGGCTAATTATTATGTATGTTAACAAAATACATTGAGAAAACCAAATCTGAGTTCTGGATTGTCCTTGTACAGTATAAATCAGCTTATGAAACATGTTTTTGTAATCTGGAGGACAGAATAGGGTAGAGATGAAGGAGCTGTCCAACTCTTTCAGCTGCTAACTAGCTCAAATATACAGTATTTCATTAGGATGAGGGTCAGGCAGAGAATATAATGAATAAACTGATTTGATAGAAAGATTTCATACAGAATATTACAGTCAATGAAATAGTGAAACAGAATTAATATTCTCAATATGCAGAGTCATACATAAAGTCATCCATTAACAGAGTTCTGGAAAGTCAACTGTCAAGTGTAATAATAGTAAAAATAAGAATCGAAAACAAATAATTATATAGTATTTTTCATTATTAAATCTCAAAGCATTTTATGAAGTCAGTCAGTATGTCTATCCCCATATTACATATGAGGAAAAGGCAGTACAGAAAGATTTGTAGGAGAACTGGGAATAGTACCCGTGTCACCAATGCCCCACTGCTATCTATTTTGGCCAAACTGGACAGTCTCTATGCCAAAGGATAAATGGACTCAAATCAGACATCAGGAATGGTAACATGCACAAACCTCTAGGGGAACACTTTAACCTCCCAGGACATTCAGTAATGGATTTGAAAGCAGGCATCCTCTACAAAACCATTTAAAAAACTGGATACAAAAGGGGGACATCTGAACTGGAATTCGTTTGCAAATTCTCAGCTTAGGATGGAATAAGGATCTCTACTGGATAACACATTACAAAAGCCATTTTCCCTCTTTGAATATTCATATCTCCAGAACAAACGCTATGAATGACCCACTTCCACCCTGACTTTATTAGCTTCCTTAATACAAGCAACTTTTTTTCCCTTATATCCCTGTTTCTGTAACTCCCGCTCCGATGCAGCTGATGAAGTGGGTTTTACTATACAAAGCTTATGTCTTAATAAATCTGTAAGGATATGTCTGCACTTGCACCCTATTTCGAAATAGGGATGAAAAGGAAGACATTCGAAATTGCAAATGAACCCGGGATTTAAATATCCCGTGCTTCATTTGCATATTCGCTTTATGGCGCTATTTAGAAATAACAGATGCTGGTAAGCCGTGGTTATTTCAAGACAAAACCCTTCTCTTGAAATAAATCTTATTCCTCATACAATGAGGTTTACCAGTTATTTCGAGAGAAGGGTTCTCTCTCGAAATAACTGCGTCTTAACAGTGTCTGTTATTTCAAAATAGCACCATAATGTGAATATGCAAATGAAGCGTGGGATATTTAAATCCCGGCTTCATTTGCAATGTCAAATGTCTTCATTTGCATCCATATTTCGAAATAGGGTGCAAGTGTAGACATACCTTTAGGGTACGTCTAGACTACATGCCTCTGACGACAGAGGCATGTAGATTAGACTACCTGACATAGGAAAATGAAGCAGTGATTTAAATAATCGCCGCTTCATTTAAATTTACATGGCTGCCGCGCTGAGCCGATCAGCTGTTTGTCAGCTCAGCGCAGTAGTCTGGATGTTCCGTGGTCGACATCAAAGGAGGCATACCTGGGAGGTCGACAAATGCCTTTGATGTCGACCACGGAACATCCAGATTACCGCGCTGAGCCGACAAACAGCTGATCGGCTGAGCGCGGCAGCCATGTAAATTTAAATGAAGCGGCGATTATTTAAATCACTGCTTCATTTTCCTATGTCAGGTAGTCTAATCTACATGCCTCTGTCGTCAGAGGCATGTAGTCTAGACGTACCCTAAAGGTATGTCTACACTTGCACCCTATTTCGAAATATGGATGCAAATGAAGACAAACACAGGATTCCTGTTTGTTTTTAATAAGTCTTACATTTTCCACACGGGTAAATCCATTTTGCCTTCTAATAACTTCTTGTTCTTTTCTGAACTCTAATTTCTCAATATGTTTCTGATAAGGAGGGGTCCATTACTGAACATGACATTCTAGAAGCAATTATGAAGCTGCTGTATTCTTTTCACTGTTTGTATTCAGCTGAAATGGGAACTCCATTGTTATGGTACTGACCACACAGTAAGACACAGTCCCTAATGGAACAGTTTACAATCTAAAGAGACCAAGACAAAAGTGTTGAAGGGAAAGAAAGCCATAGAATGGAAGTGACTTTTTCCTTCTCACAACAACAGGTGAATGGAAGTAGGTTTCAGTAAAAGTTGTGTCTTATCTGAAGTCCTATTCCAAAGACTAGCTTCCATTTTGAGGCAACAATCTAATACATCTCTGTAGCCCAGTGGTCTCTCATCTTTTCCATCCATATGCAGAATAAATGTTTTTATGTGCTCTGAGGCACATGAGACTGTGCACCACCACCAAAACAAAAAACCTAGCTGAGAGCACTCTGCTTATCACCTGGCTGGCATTTGAATCTCTCCGAAGTGGCTACACACACACACAGCTTACATGGAACACGGGTGTAGTCCCAAGTTATTTTGGCTTTTTCTGCCTGCACTGTATAAAAACTCATGTCTAATTTGCAATCCGATATCACCCTAAATATCTGCAGAACTCCAGGGCTCTGTCTTCCATTAGAAGTCAGATTATGTAGGAACACCCCCCCCCCCCCCCACATATAAATGACCTATAAAAGAACAAACCAAATCTTAAATAAATTTGAGATACTATTCCCAAAAAAACAAGATTTAAAAAAAACATATAATAAAAGATTTTAAAAAACTGCTATAATAAAATGCAGTAGTTTATTCTTTATATATTTGTAATGATAGATTAAGACTAGATAGATAGATAGATAGATAGATAGTATGATTAGTACTCAAATAATATATTTCGTGCCTGGAAATAATAGCTTAAGGTGAATTAAGTACTTCAAAATACTATAGGGATAAGACAACTAGGTTATACAAACAACAAAATATAACATGAAGTGAGTGCACTACTGTACCACTGTTACTTACATATTATTCTCACAGTACGATTTTCATTTGTAAAGGATCTTTATTTTTGAAAACAGTGCCTTTCAAGAGTAAGTGCTTTACAAACAGTTAAGCCTCTTCATGCCCTGCTGAGGAAGGCACTTCAAATATTATCCTTCTATTTGGAGCAAACTGAGCTGAGAGATGTTAAGTGACTTGCCCAAGGCCATGCAATAAATCATTGGAAAAGCAGGCAATAGAAACCAAAAGCTTGGATTTCTAGTTCCTGCTTCCATCATTAGTTGACAGGAACAAGTTACTATACTGTCTGAAAAATACATACTACAAAATTAGAGCAATAACTTATCCCCACACCCCCAATCCCTAGTATTTGTAAAGTAGAAAATATACAATTAAAAATGAGACAGGACTTAGGATCAGGTATGTCCCTCATAATAAATGAAAAAAGGTTCCTGGAAATAAGAGAATACCACCATTTAAAACAGGGGTGAGCAATAAGTGGCCCACAGACTGGTTAGCTGGGGGTAGCTCTTGATGGACCACCAGTGCTTTATCTATGCATCTTGTAGCTCCTGTTTGCTATGAATCACCATTCCTGACCAATGGGATCTGCGGGAAGTGGTGCAGACCAGGACATTGCTTCCTACTGCTCCCACTGACTGGGAACACCAGGGGATAACTCTGGCTACTGGTAAGTCTAACTTCAGTACCGGGCAAATTAGTCGAAACAATAGTAAAGAATAAAATTGTCAGTCAAGTAGAAGAACATAATTTGTTGGACAAAAGTCATCATGGTTTCTGTAAAGGGAAATCCTGTCTTACTAATCTATTAGAGTTCTTTGAAGGGGTTAACAAACATGCAGACAAGGGGGATCCAGTAGATATAGTATACTTAGATTTTCAGAAAGCCTTTGACAAGGTCCCTCACCAAAGGCTCTTGTGTAAATTACATGGCCATGGGATAAGAGAGAAGGTCCTTTCTTGGATTGAGAACTGGTTAAAAGACAGGAAATGAAGGGTAGGAATAAATGGTAAATTTTCAGAATGGAGAGGGATAACTAGTGGTGTCCCCCAAGGGTCAGTCCTGGGACCAATCCTTTTCAATTTATTCATAAATGATCTGGAGAAAGGGGTAAGCACTGAGGTAGTAAAGTTTGCGGATGATACCAAACTGTTTAGGATAGTCAAGACAGAAGCAGACTGTGAGGGACTCCAAAAAGATCTCGCCAAACTGAGTGATTGGGCAACAAAATGGCAAATGAAATTTAATGTGGA